TGGTGAGGGGTTATGCCGTACAGGTGTCCCTGGCAGGCGGCCGCTGGTGCTGGTTGATTGAGGGCGGGACTATGTTCCATTGTGTTACCCCTCTGAGTGACGTGTGGAGGACTGTCACCTTCAATCTCCTCAAGCTTGTCTTTGTGGAAAATTTTGGCAGAGGTTGGCCTCCCCACTTGGGGATCGGATTATCGGGGCTAAAGTTGTCGAGGTGTTTCCACATGAATCACCTTCGTGTCCGTGTGTGGAGCCTAAGACGGACAAGGACGGGGGTGAATCCTCAATGGTACACAATGTTTTATTTGGCGGGCGATGAGTAGGTCATTCAAAACTCGACAGAAAAACTATATTTTTCTTCCCAAGAAGAATAATCGGCAATAATGAGTGTTGAAATAAATGAATATATTAACATAAATGAATATTAAATCAGGGGTATTGAGTAATCAATAGGCAAAAGGAATGTTGTAATAAGTGAATGTGTTGAAATAAATGAAATGTTAAATCAAAATATTGCGTAACCAATATAACTTGGAGAGTAATCTGAGCTGATCACCAAAGTTAAGCAATGGTTTCCTCGAGGTTAATCAAGGTAGATTCAATAGGATTCCTTATAATCTTGGTGTGCGTGTGAGGCGACGTAAGTCCTATTCTTCTTCTGCTGTTTATCGTGCTCCTATTCTTCTTCTATTTCTTTTTCTGTTTCTAATGCTTTCCCTTCCTGCCCTGCTCCTTTCTTCCTAGCTGTTTAGCACCTCTACTCCTGTCGTCCTTTCCTTGGGTCTTTCCCCTGTCTGTGTACATGCGCTTCGATGATGGGGGGCTAGAGGTGGCGGTGGGGGGGCGGTGGGGTTGCAGTGTAGGTAAGTGGGGAGTCGGGGGGTAGACTGGGGGTGTGTGGCCTGTGTCGTGGGATGGGATGTTGCGTGGGATCGCGGTCTGTGGTTTAGGTTCTTTTTGATATGGGAGGTGACGGCGAGAGGGAGAGGAGGGGGGGGGAAGTGCCTTGTGTGTTCTTGGCTTATGGGTATGGGGATTATATGCGCTGGTGTAGGGTGATGTGTGTGAGGGGTGGTTCGGAGGGCCGCGTTCGAGTGGTGGTGGTTGGTCCCGGTGTTGTGTGTTTGTCACGTGGAAGTCCGTTGGTGCTGGTGCTAGGTCGCGATCCGTCCGTCTGTCTCGGCGTTGGTGAGCATTGGTTGATGCGAAGTCTAGTCTAGCTTGGCCGCCTTCGTAATGATGCCCTACTCCTGTCTGTTCGAGTGCGTTCGGTTCCTTCTATGGACTGAACTTTATTTCCTACTCCAGCTGCCTAGATCCCTCTTGAGGGAATGTCAGAATTAGCAAAATATTGAGATGGGGCAACAGGTCGAGAGGTCTCCAGGACACAAGAGATACCGGCTACTATCTGTGTATAGCAGGGCAACCAGGGGAATAACCGAAGAAGACAGCAACAAGGCACACAGGGAAGGAGATTGGCAGGAGAGAGCGGAGAGAGCACCGAGAGAACCCAGCACAAGAGACGTTGGCGTGTGGACAGGATTGTGCCTCTCTCAAAGTCTTGAGCTTAAAGGATACCAGACAGCTAGGGTATACCCTAGTCGAGAGGACGTTGGGTTAAAAGGCAAGCTGACAGTTAATCCTCCACAAAGGTGGAGCAATCAATGCTGTTCAGGGGTCCTTCAGCCAGACGGAAGGAAGCGTGTGCATGTATGTTGCTGTATTACCATGACTTCACAGTGGAAAAGGAACCGGACTGATGCTCCCCAGAATGGATATGGAGCCAGGACCATAAGGCCCTGTTATTTAAAAAAAAAAAAAGAAAAGAAGAAAAAAGAAAAAAGAATTAGCAAAATATGAATCCTCCTTTCGCCGTAATGTCCTTTTCTCTTGTCGGTACGTACGACCGGTTCTCGATTAATGATGTCTCCTCCGCCTTCTCTTTGTCCTTGTCGCTTGTGGGTCCGGTCCGCCCGATTTCCTCGCTTCTGCAAGCTGGTGTTTGAGAGTTGGAGCGATCTTACCTCCCTTTCTCGCTGCGTCTTGTTCATCCTTGTCTTCAAGTCCTTGGCGCTCTACTTGATTGCTTTGCTTTCTCTCGAGTGTTTCCTCTGCCACTCCTCTTCCCTGTTCCTGATCATTCTCCCTTCCGTCCCTCTCCTCCTCTTTCTGCCTTGGTTCTTTCTGTTGTTGGAAAGTGCGGCTGCATTGTCCCTTTCACCTTTTCACTCCTTTTTGTTTCTTACTCTTGGCAGCTTCCTCTGCTTCTTTCTTGTTAACCCACTCTCTCTCCTTGGTAGGGCTTCCTCTCTTGGTTCCTCTCCCTCTCTCTTCCCTTCTTCTCCCCCTTCTTACTGTACCTGTGCCTCCCCCTGTGCCTCGTCCTGTGCCCCGTCCTGGGGCGTGGCGTGGGATGTCTCCCCGGGGTGTGGTCCCCCTTCATTGGGTCTGGGTGGTCTGTCCCTTTCCTGGTTTGAGCTGTGGCCTCAGCTATGGATTCAGCAGTGCGTCGTGCGAAGACGCACGGGTTCAAAGCTTTCGCTTCGTGCCCTTCGCTCAGTGGCAATGGCACGCGGGCGAGTGGTGGAACTCTCGCGTGAGCGCAAGATTCGCGGCGGTAACTCCGCGGTACCAATGGCAGCGTCGGTGTAGCACTCACCGAGGTGGCGCTAGCGCTCCGACAGACCTCTGTATTCTGTTGTGTTTAACACAAATTAGCAGCGTAAACACTTCCAATTCCGGTACATGCTGTATACAGTCTGTGTGTTTGATAAATCTGAGTGCTACGGATGGGGCTTTTTGGTTGATGTGTTCCCACAACTTCCCAGTCCTCTTAATTCCATTGGATGTCCTGTCTTAGTGTGCTTCTCCATGCTAAAGGGAATACTGTCTTGGATGTCATGTTTAACACAAATTAACAGCGTAAACACTGCCAATTCCGGTACATGCTGTAGACAGTCTGTGAGTTTGATAAATCTGAGTGCTATGGATGGGGCTTTTTGGTTGATGTGTTCCCTGTCCCCTTTGTTCCATTATATGTCCTGTCTTGGTGTGCTTCTCCATGCTAAAGGGAATACTGTCTTGGATGTCATCCTTTTCAAAAGGGTGACGGCCTTTAGATATCATCATTGAGTGGACCGGCCCCAGATAATCAAGACTCAAGAGTGATCTTATTTCAACTGGTTGCATCTGGATTTGAGCTTGGGTCTGTATGTCAACAGTTCATGGACGTACCAACTGGGCTAGGCCCGTCTTTGTCTAGGATGTCCTCCTATTCTTTTCCAGATCATGGCACTCTTTTAGCTCTTTCATGAGATGGGCGACCGTTTCCATCTTCTTCTTTTCCTGGTCATCCCAGAGACGTTCTATTTTCCGTATGCCGTTGTCCATCCATCTTTCTCCATCTTCTGCTCTTGCTGGTCAACATCCATGGCTGCTCATCCTTCAACAGACTGTTGCCAAACAGGGCATGTCTAAGTACATCCTCTTTGGTTTCCGGTCCTCTCACTCTCTCCGGAATAGCCTCTCTCCATGTATTGACGAAGGATGTTTCATGCCTGCTCGGGGGGTCCCTACTTGGAGCTTTCACCTCTTCCCTTCTCTCCCCTTCTGCTCATGGAAACCAACGTCTGCTCGTTATCAAACAGTGCCCTTTGATGGTTTCATGTGCTTGGAATGGAACTAGGTTTGTAAGATTTGGTGCAAACACTGCAAAGCCATGTCGTGCCGTGATAGCTCGTGATGGACGCAGCTATTGATTTTGTGCGGTGTGCTTTGTATTCCATGGTTGGATTTGTTAAGCTAAGTTCACCCTGACTACCTGGTCTTGCTGTATATTTCCAAGCAAATGCTCGCAGAAGGCATCCCCTCTCCAGCGATATGCAGCAACTCTCCTTTTCAGTTCCCTTGTTCCCTTGTGAATCGCTCTGATGTTTTCCAGACTGAAGCTGAGAACCGTATCACAGAGGAGATGGGAGAGTTTAGTCCTTCAACTTCAGAAGATGGGTTCAAGAAGAGCGGTATTATTACAGCGTGACATGTCGAGAAGCGTCTCTTTGGTACGCCTATGCCTAGTTTGATGTGTCAGATTCTGGTATTTCTATGGCTGTGCTCTTTGGCACTTGACAATCGCAACATGTGGTGCAGTGATGTGTAAAGAGTCTAAAGACAGTTGATAGCTTGAGGCCCGACCCTCAATAGATGATCAGTACTGACTCTACAGAGGAAAACATAGGCAACTCATGGTTGAGGAACAACTCATGGTTGAGGGATTGAGGGATGAATACTAAGGCCCACATGATGGGGAGGTACAGCCTTCAAACACTTGAAATTGCCACATGATCAGTACAGAGGAAATCACAAGCAGTGTGCAATGTTTGGCGGATGATTATATTTTCTCTTTTTTTTCTTTTCTTTTTTTTTTTAAACAGGTCCTTATGGCCCTGGCTCCATTTCCATTCCGGGGAGCATCAGTCCGGTTCCTTTTCCGCCGGCAAGTCAGAATAAAATATTACATCATGAAACACACTCACGCTTCCTTCCGTCTGGCCGAAGGAACCCTGACCAGCATTGATTACTCCATAATGGAGGATTGACTGTCAGCTTGCCTTACTTCCCCCTTTCCTCTCAGGTCCATTGCCCAAACCTGTCAGATGACTAATAAAGAGCAAGAAAGGTAAGAGAAGCTATGGAAGTTACAGTCCCGGAATTTTCCCTTCAATATTATGTGACCTGTGATGGATCTTGTCCTTCTGCTGGCTGGAATCTGTCTTCTCCACCCTGCTTCTGAGTTGTGCCAGTCTTTCCATCGTATGTGAGAGACATTTATCTCTGCCACTTTGCCCCTTGCAAGCCACACCTTAGTAAATTTCGTCTTGATTCTTCTCTGTTGCTATTCATCATCTGGCATGGACTGTCTCATCTTGTGCCATTTACGAAGGATCTCCGCCTGAATCAACGTCCTTGTCTATTATAACTCCTGCGCACATCATCATGGTTTGCAGGTGCAATTGAACTCCTGGAGAATTTCAAGTCCATCAAGAGTGAGGGAGCCATCAATCGTCAAATGATGGATAAATTCAATGACATTCTTGAGCAGGTCAGTATCACTCGTGTGAAACCAAAACCTCATGATGGAGTCTCTCACCCGAAACTTCAAAATATATCATTTGTAGGTGTTTTATTCATTAATGATTTTTGCGAGGTCCCTGAGCCACACAGGAGGCAGTACAGGGCTGGTAGGCTCTGGAATAAGGCCTGGTAAGTCCTGGTACGTTCGGCTGAGTCTGGAACTTTAGGGTAGGCTGTACGTACCTGTTGAAGAAGGGCCCAGCCACTGTGTTTGAGTCAAGGCCAGGTTAGTCAGCCGACATTGGGATGGGAGATTGCTGGCAGGCTGCTTCAGCGCTAAGTCAATGTGCCTGAGCAGGAAGAAGACGGCCGTGCAGTCACGAGCACAGTAATGGTAGGTGCTGGAGAAAAAGGTGGGCACCATCGCTGGTTGGGCGCCTTGTGTGGTGAGGATGTCGACAGGGCAGGTGAGGCTCTTGGGAGGTAAGGAAGAATGTATAGAAAGTTGTAAGATGCTTACCTGCCGGCTGGCAGGGAGGGCTCCAATGTGGTCAGACTCTTCAAGCGGTCATACCTGAGTGGTATAGGCACTATTAGGCAGTCATACCTGAGTAGGGAACTACTGTTTGTAGTAATGATTGGATGGAGGCAAGAAGAGGGCTTTCGTAGTCAAGAGACTTCAGTGTTGTGCGTGTCCTTGTATTGGTATGATCTCCTCTTCCCAATTCTGTTCTTGTGCTTTGGCCATAAATTGAGGTATGATCTTGTCTTCCCAATTCTGTTCTTGTGCTTTGGCCATTAATTGAGTTCTCAGGGGCGGGTTCTTTGCATTTTGACTTGCTGGTGCAAGAGAGAAACTGAATCAATGCCCCTAGAACAGAGGGGCTTTTCTAGAATATGGGAAGTTCTCGTTTCTCTTTTTCCACAATTGTGAGTAAGGAATGTTTCCCTAATTAAACCGCCAGTACATCTGACCCTGTTTTTTCCGACATCGATTTCTGTTGTGCGCCCAAGTTTTGCTGAACCAGCACCAGCGCTGACATCCTCTTCTGTTGGAAGGCTGAGCCCAGAAGGACATGCGTGTTAACCGCTGGATGGGAACAAAGTATCTAGGAAATGCACTGGTGATTCAAAGGCAAGGATCAAGGGACTAAGGGATTATAAACACAGTGGTCAGATTCAGGGGAGGTATAAACTACTATAAAGGGATTAAGTTCAGGGATTGAGGGATCAAGGGCAGTCATCAAGGGATTCAGGGATTTAAGGCCTGGCTTAACGGATTGAGGGAACTAGTTGGCAGGCAATAAGATAATGATTTTCCTGAAAACCAAAAATGGAGGTGGTCACAGAAGACGAGACACTCCATGCCTGACGATGCGGATCAGCAGCAAAAAATCGAAGAAAAATTTACAAAGGAGTGGCTGGCAGGTGGCAAGGTAGCAGACATTAAGGACTCCCACATACTATAGAAAGACTGACACAATTCAGAAGTGGGCCTGAGAAGGCAGAGATGTCAGCCAGCAGATGGACAGGCTACGTGAACTCCATAGCAAAGGGCTACAAACTTGCAAGTTCATGAGTTGGTGTTTTCCTCGTCTTCTATCCCTTTCTTGCTTTCAACGATAAATATGACAGGTTCAGACAGTGGGACCTGAGAGGGAAGGTAGAAGTAAGGCAAGCTGACAGTCAATCCTCCACACTGCTGGAGCAATCAATGCTGCTCAGGAGTCCTTCTGCCAGACGGAAGGAATCGTGCAGGTGTTCTTATATTGTAATTTTGACTTGCCGGGAGGAGCCAGAACCGAGAGGTTCTGTTGTCATCAAAAAAAAAGAAAAAAGAAAAAAAAAAAGAGGAACCGGACTGATGCTCCCCAGAATGGATATGGAGTGTTACATCTTCGACGCCACATGGGTCCTACCGGACCCGACTTAGGGCCAGAGGGACACATTAGGGCCTAAAGGCCCGACCTTGGGGTACTACAGGCCGTAAAGGCCTCATCTTGGACCAGACCCGACGGGCAGGCCCAAACGACATTACCATTTGGGCCTGGCGGCGCTCTTGAGGCTGCCGCCCGCCGGTTGGGGCTGAATCCTCCATCTGGACGGTTCAGGGCACGGCCAGGCCTCGCAGCATAGAGGCCGGCCTCTGCCCCACCGGTACAAAAGTACCGGTCCGGCCTCACTCCAG